GAATCGCGAAAATTTGGTCCGTGGTAGCGCGGGCACCCATGAATCCCGCTTGGTATTGCCCCACGAACTCTCTTGCATATGGTGACAGACGGCGGCATAGAATTTGGGAGAGTACCTTGTAGGCGGCGCTCAGCAGTGTGATCGCGCGGTAGTTGCAGCAATCCAACTTGTCGCCCTTTTTGTAGATTGGGCATACGACACCTTCCATCCACTCCTCCGGTAATATCTCCTCCTCCCAAATCTTGGCAATTACCCAGTGCAGCGCTCTAGCCAGTGCTTCACCACCGTATTTCAATAGCTCACTTGGTAGTTGATCTACACCAGTTGCTTTGTTGTTCTTCAGCCGACCGATCTCCTCCTCAACTTCTTGAAGATCAGGGGCCGGTAGCCTGTCGTCCTCTGCGCGTGCTCCAAGGTCTGTTGCCGTGCCACCTTCGTTTTCTGCTGCTTCACCGTTGAGGTGCTCGTCATAGTACTGCTTCCACCTCTCAATCACCTCACACTCGTTCGTGAGAAGGTTACCGTCCAAGTCCTTGCACATATCGGCTTGCGGCACGTAGCCTTTGCGCGAACTATTTAGCTTCTCGTAGAACTTCCGTGTGTCGTTTACGCGGTACAGATTTTCCATCGCCTCGCGATCTCGGTCTTCTTGCTGACGCTTCTTCCTTCGGAAAACCGAGTTTTGTCTGTTCCGCGCTTGTCTGTATCGCTCCACATTCAATCTCGTGCGGTGTTGCAGCATTCTCGCCCGTGCTGCATTCTTCTCCTCTACTAACAGTTTGCATTCGCCGTCAAACCAGTCATTTCTTCGGTCCGGGATTGCAGTACCTAGTGCCGCTGCAGCAGTACTACCTATGGCTGAACGGATGTCCCTCCAGCCATCTTCAAGAGAAGCTGCGCCAAGCTGCTCTTCCGTGGGTAGTGCAACTTCCAGCTGCTGCGCGTAGTCCTGGGCAACTCCGGTGTCCCGTAGTTGCTCAATGTTGGGTCGTGGCGTTCGACTTCGACGTGTGTTATGCACCGTCGAGAGTTTTGAGCGCATGCATACTGCAACTAGGTAGTGGTCCGAATCTATGTTCGCACTGCGGTACGTGCGGACGTTGATAATGTCGGAGAAGAATTTCCCGTCGATTAGAACGTGATCGATTTGGTTTTCTGTGTGTTGGTCAGGTGATCTCCAGGTGGCTTTGTGGATATCCTTGCGGGGGAAAAAGGTACTTCGAACTACCATACCCCGGGAGGCTGCAAAGTTCACGCATCGTTGGCCGTTGTCGTTCGATACGGCATGCAGGCTGTTTGGCCCGATTGCCGGTCTATACATTGCCTCCCGTCCTACCTGAGCGTTCATGTCGCCGATGACGATTTTGACGTCCCGTTGCGAACAGCCGTCGTACACCTGCTCCAGCTGCGCATAGAACGCTTCTTTCTCGTCGTCGGGTCTCCCTTCGTGTGGGCAGTGCACGTTGATGATGCTGTAGTTGAAGAAACGGCCCTTAATCCTCAACTTGCACATCCTCGCGTTGATCGGCTGCCAACCAATCACGCGTTGGCGCATCTTACCCAGCACTACAAAGCCGGTTCCCAGCTCGTTGGTGGTGCCACAGCTCTGGTAGAAAGTAGCCGCTCGATGCCCGCTTTTCCATACCTTTTGTCCCGTCCAGCAAAGTTCCTGCAGTGCTACGACTTCGAAGTTGCGTGGTTGAAGTTCGTCATAGATTAACCTATCGCAACCCGGGAAGCCGAGCGATTTGCAGTTCCATGTTCCGAGTTTCCAATCGTAGTCCTTATTTCGTCGCGTAGGTCTGTGCCGATTGTTCCGATCCGTATTTCTTTCTTCGGTATTTGCAACTTTGTTTTTTTTCCAGGGCGGCTTGTTGGGCCTGCCCCAACCCCCTGTCTCGCCGGGGGACCATCGTGCACAGCTCTGTTTAGAGTCCCACGCTGGCACTAGGACGGTGATCAGCCGCTCCTAACATGGAGAACAGACGCCGTTTTGAGCCGCACCTCCATGGTGAGCAGACGCTCAGGTTTGGTGAAGCATTTCCTCTATCACCGTACTATGGTTACCGCGCCAGTGTTCGCGTCGCACCTCTTCACTTTGCTATTGCCGGACTGGCAACATTGCCCAGGCTACGCCAACCAGCTGTGTCCATGTTTCAGCTGGTAGTCTTTTGTTATCATATGACTCGAGGAGGCGTGAAGTAGGAACTTGTGAGGACCAGGGCTAGGTATTCCGCTCCTTCCAGGTTGTCAACTCACCATTTTGTAGCCCAAAGGTCTATAACTAAAAAGTTTCAAAATATGAAAGCTCCAGGTGATGATGGAATTTTCTATATCCTCATCAAAAAACTCCCAGAGAGTACCTTGTCTTTCTTGGTAAAATTATTTAACAGATGTTTCCATTTGGCATACTTTCCTGATAAATGGAAAAATGCAAAAGTTTATCCAATTTTAAAGCCGGATAAAAATCCAGCTGAAGCTTCTAGCTACCACCCAATAAGTTTGCTTTCTTCAATAAGTAAACTTTTTGAAAAGATAATTTTGAATAGAATGATGCACATCATCACATCAATACGAACTCGATTTTTGCAGATGAGCAGTTTGGATTTCGCCATGGGCATTCAACTACTCATCAACTCTTAAGAGTTACCAATTTAATTCGTTCAAACAAATATGAAGGCCACTCAACTGGAGTTGCTCTTCTAGACATAGAAAAAGCATTCGACAGTGTTTGGCATGAAGGTTTGATTGCTAAATTGAAAAAGTTTAATTTTCTACTTTATATTATGAAATCAGTTCAAAATTATTTAACTGACAGAACTCTGCAGGTAAATTATCAAAATTCCATATCGGAAGGACTACCTGTTAGAGCAGGAGTTCCTCAGGGTAGCATTCTTGGGCCTATATTGTATAACATTTTCACTTCGGACCTCCCTGATTTGCCTCAGGGTTGCCCCAAATCTTTGTTCGCTGATGACACAGGTATTTCCGCTAAAGGAAGAAGTCTTCGTGTTATTTGCAGCAGACTGCAGAAAAGTTTAGATATTTTCTCTTCTTATTTACAAAAATGGAAGATTTCTCCCAACGCTTCCAAAACTTAACTTATAATATTTCCACTTAAGCCTAGAGCTTCGGTTTTTGAAACCTAGTAGTAGTCACATAGTCACTATGAACGGAGTTCCAATTTCCTGGTCAAACCAAGTGAAATATCTTGGATTAGTACTTGACCAAAAATCAACTTTTAAAGATCACATTGAGGGCATTCAAGCCAAATGTAACAAATATATAAAATGTTTGTATCCTCTTAAAAACAGGAAATCCAAACTTTGGCTGACGAATAAACTTCTAATATTTAAACAAGTTTTTAGACCGGCCATGCTTTACGCTATGCCAATATGGTCTTGTTGTTGCACTACCAGGAAAAAAGCACTTCAAAGGATTCAGAACAAAGTTCTGAAAATGATTTTGAAGTTGCCTCCCTGGTACAGTACTACCGAAGTACATAGAATTTCGAATGTTGAGACTTTAGAACAAATGTCCAACAAAATAATTAATAATTTCAGGCAAAAATCGTTGCAATCCTCAATTGCAACGATTAATTCCCTTTATACTTAGATAAGATTTAGTTTTAGTTTTTAGTTTTAAGATATCAATTGTTATACTGACATGCAGGTTTAAAAAGCCTGTTTAAAATACTGAATTGCCAAGACAGGAACAATGTAAAAACACTTAGCTATATATCATAACAATTAAGGTTGGTAAGTTACTGCAGTAACTGGAGCACCTAGGTTAAAATGAAATGTAATTTATTTTGAATTTGGAACAAATAAAGAGTTAAAAAAAACCGAGTGCTTCTTCTTGATGTAGAGAAGTCGTCAAGTCATCGATAATGTCGGGGTCTGCCGGATCATTGCCTTCCTCCAAGGGGTGCGTCAATTTCGTACAAATCACGAATTCCTGCATATACACACCTCGCATGATGCAGTTGCAGCCATCCCGTTATGCAAATGCGCTGGAACGGTACGTGGGTCATACACTCTCCATTGTGTTACTAGATCCGAGTTATCCGCATCCCACAGGGCCCGAGGAAAACAACCTTTGCCCGTTAGAGACATCTTGGCGATCTCGACTATTTAAATTTAATTTATGTTTGGAATGGACTATGCGCGCCACAGGTGGTGGTACTACCGACTACGATACTTTTAAATTGACCGTTAAATGCTTGTTCGATGAACAACTTGCGAGTGTTATGTCTGTTTGTCTGTGGTGTCATCTTGTGTTCTCCCAAGTTGTTATCTCCCCATCGGTGTACCCCCATGTTTGTCTTTTTCATCCAAGTTTTCATCAGTATGTCGATCAAGAGCACATTGCTCTCCAAACCCTGTGTTCTCTATCCCATCCCTGACATCCAATTGTTACAATTTGTTGCCCCTAACTTCGAGATAGCCGCGAGTAATCTGCTCCCGCTTTACTAACGTTAGTTTTAAGTAACTCTGTAATCCAAACACTGAACATCGGCTCCGCAAAGCTACAGCAAATGAGCCTGGAAAAATAAACGCATTATGAAAATAAAACATAGTGATGCAAGCGAGAAATGTCTTTCTGATTTTCAGTTGTGTACACAATATTAGCTGAACACGTTTAACAAATAAATAAATAATTAAATAAAACGGCAACATATTCAAATTTCGACCATTACCCACGTTGCTGTCGATGCCCCGCCCTGTGCACGCGCGCGCTTCCATAACTTGTAAGTGCTCCATCGTCGCTATTCGCTCGTGTTTCGCCAGCCTCCTTTTGCTGCTACTCGGCCAGTGCCAGTGCGCCGATGAGTGTGTCGTCACCAGCGGCTTGCAACTCCGCTCCGGCTCGCACACTACCAGCCAACACCATCAACCAGGCAGGGGTTGGCCCAAGTGCACTGCATGCGAGCCGAAACTTGAGCAAAAGCAAAAGCAAAGCGAGACCCAGCAGCAGCAGTGAGTTCGTCGGCTCGTCGGTCGTTCGCTCCCATCCAGTTGTTATTCAGCTTTCGTTCGGTCGGGACGTTTTCGGAAACGGGTTTTCCGTGAGTGAGCGATTTTTTTCTTCTGTTACCCGTTTTGCTGTACGGTTCTTCTTGTTCTTGCTGCTGGTGTGGTCGTCATCGGTTACTACCAGCCGAAAAGAGAAAAGCGAACATCGGGAAGAGAACCATTCATCAGTTTAGTGGAAAAGCAAAGGGAACGAACAAGGATCGAGAGGGTATTTTGTGCAATCTCCTCCGGTTCCAGCAAGCAGTCCCTGTGTATTATGTGCAAAGGTTTTTATATTATTATTTTTTTTTGCGCTGTGCCTGATATAACAAAAGGATTAATGAATTTCGCTCCGAGAACAGAGTCGTGAATTCCGATAACCATTAATCTCGTGTGCGGAGAAACCAAGGTGGAACAACGTCGACGGGCCCATGGTAACCGTTGAAAGTGGGCGAATTCTTGTGGGATACGTTCATGTGTGTTTGAGAGTGATTGTAGTTTTCGGCCGTGAAAATAAAACGCCAAGTTTACTTTCCCGCAAAAAAAAAAGTGTTTACCGTAAAAATGTGTGAGAAATCCTAAAGTGAAGCAGAGCTGTGGAGAGTTTTGAAATTCTATCGGATAAGCAACAAATCGGATTTCGGTTGCGCTGAACGGGCACCAATACAAGGAGGATAAATGAAAGGTGATGAAAGTAACCATTTATCGTACACCCAACCCAACCGTCGTCGGAGGAAGATTGAAGTGAAACGCAATAAGGTTTTCGGTTCCATTGTATGTTGCCCGGTTGTGTTAATTAGTGTAAGCTGTCAAACGAAATACGCCAGGATACTCTCGTCATACTGTCGCAATTTATCATACCATCCATCGGTTACTCGGCAGTGCGAATGACATACACGCACAAAAGGAAGAAAATCTTGTGCTTTTCATCATCCTCGATACCAGCATAGGGTACTGGACCATGGCAGGCAAACACAACAACAATAGAGCACCACTTTACCCGACTGAAGGCGGCAGTTCGGTTCGGGCTGGGTTGTGTTCTCGAAAACAGCGTCGGCAAAATTGAACGTTGTTCCAACTTTGTCGGACTTACGCTTGTTCGGTTGATGGAGCTGGAAACTGATAAGCCCGGCCGCTGTCGCTGCTTCTGGACTGTATCTTGCTGTGTAGTGTCATGTCACCTCCGCCCGCCAACCGAGGCGGCTTGGTGAATCAAACTTGTCCGAATATTGACACAAAAGCCGACTGACTGAAGATGTTACCGAGTTTCGTTTTTTTTTTCTTTGCTGGCTCTTGTGTGCTTGTGAAAGGTGCCGCCGCACGAGACAACGACGATGACGATGACGACGACGACTGACTGTTAGGCCGACAACATAGTAGAAGCGATTCGAAGCGATTCGATGCGATAGCAATTGGCAAAGCGAAATGCAGCGGCAAGCGAAGCAACCTATGACATAGTGAAAGCGTTTTTGAAAACATTACAGTCGCGCGCGCAGTGCAAAATATTTGTTCAAATTTGTTATTCCTCACTAGAATCAGTCCACTTGCGTTCGAAGGCGTCAAAACACAACACGAACAGCTCTGTCGCTTTGCTGAACGCTTTACACCTCTTCGCATCGCTTTCACTATGGCTGGTTTGGGCGATTCCCATAGAACGCTCATAGAGGGTGCTTTCACGCAAGCGCTCCGCTTATTGCCAACAAATCGAATCGCTTCGAATCGCTTCTACTATGTTGTCGGCCTTAGTGAGTTGGATCCCCTATCTGCCGTCAAAGAGAATCTGCCGAATGCTACAGGTGTTTGATTCCGGGTGGAATTGATGAATCGATTGATTGTGCAGCAGTGGATAATGGAAGGATTTACCAGAAGGGTGCTAATCAAGTGCATTATGATTTCTACGAATACTATTTCTGTTCAAATTGTGTTGTACAACATTTGCTTGGACACTGCTGATTCGGACGCAACATCGCAAAGTCATTATGTAGCGACTCGTGGTACCTCAAAATAAATGTAGGAGCGTGTAACATACCCGTTCCTGATTCATTGGCTTTGAAAGCAATTTGGGTACACAGTCAAACATTGTTCGTAATATCGCGTCGAAAACGATGCATATCACCCATGTCGAATGAATCGTGTATTTGTACATTGACCCAATTTTTCATGTATGAATGAATCAGCAGGTAATCCCACTGTTCGTCTCGAACTGCTCACGAGCAAACGAAACTGCATATAGTAGCAATAATGTACAGAAGGGTCATATCTTCGGCCCCAAATCGGCTCGGCGAGACTATGACACTCTCAAAACTATAAGCCATTAGTTTATAGTTATCCTGTAGTAACCGTCTTAAACATAAGTAAATGTACCTGGCAAACAAAAAGATAAGTGTTCCGTGTTAATAAACTCAGACCAAGTGCAAAACTACCGTGTTCCGAACAGTAATCATCCTCAACTGATCAGATTCGCAGCACGGATCCAACAGACGCTTGATTGTGCGTTAACATTTTTGATCTTTCGAGCCACAACATAATCGACTTGTTGGATTGCCCTAAGCTGGCGTTAACATGGTCAATGTACAAAACAAAAATCATGATTAACTACTTTGATATTAATGTTTTGGACTGGAAAATTTTCGATACAAACTCCATTATTACGAATGAGGCATGTTCCTGATCGAGAGTTTAAGTTCTTGAGAGTGGGATTCCGAGGAGAAATTGTTGAAGTTTTAAGGATTAAGTAAAGTTATTTTAGACTGCTTGAACTGCAGTTTTCAGTTTTTCAGCAAAGAAGAAATGTCATACATTTCCTTCATTTTAGGTTTCACAGTTTGTGAAGATATCAACTTGTAATATTCTAAGTACGTATTTATCCTTCTTTTACAAATGAGCAGTTCTTTCGAATTCTACTATTTTCGTGATTTTGGCATCATCTATAAAACATGCATTCACAAAAATTTTCCTTCTTTTAAAAGTTAGGTATTATTTTTTCACAGCAATTTGTTTTGGACATTTTGTGACAACGGTTTTGACACTCGACACTTCGGCAAAAAAAATATTAAGTGTACAAATTTGTTGTAATTCCAAATGACAATCACGTTTAATATGAACTAGCCTTATTTGTTGCTCGTTCTCTTTTTCAGACCGGCAAATTTTCGTTCATAAGAGTGCTCATACTTCAATGATTTGAATTCCAAAAACAGAAAAAAATTATTCAGAATATTCAGGCTTAGCACTTTGGAAGGCAATCAAAATTTTATTTTCTAACGCAAAATTTCCTTCATTTAAACATGAGAAGTTCTTACAAGGTTACTGTTCTCACGATCTTAGGCACCTAGATTAAAATATGCAAACACATTATTTTTAATTCTTTTTTTTTTTTTTTTTTATTCTTTATTTAAGAGATTTTTAGCCTTAGGCTAGTTCATCTCTAAATTTTCAATTCTTTTAAAAGCAGCTCGTTCTTTTCTCACATGAATCTTTGTTGAATTAAACAAAATTGGGATGCGTCATTACAGGAGTATGTAATTATGACTAATTAAAACAGTTAACAGGATTATGGTGGAATGAATCATTTATTATCATTTACCCAATTGTTGAAAAGGGACATTCTCCGAATGTTCTTAAATACAATTCACAATTCACACTTTGGATCTTTTTTTATGAAAATGTATACACACTAAGATTTTGTTTCCGTGCTCCGTAAATTTTACCGACATCAGAACAGCCGAACGTTCGGTAAAACTATGACCTTCAATTTAAAGGCTATTGAATTTGAAAATAATTTCAAAACATGTTCAACCATGTTTAAATGATCAAATCTTGGCATTTTGGTGAAGATTTCGTTTCAAAGTAGCTGAAAAGCAATTGAATTGAATTACATAAATTTTACCGAACAGTTCAGCTGTTCAGATTTTGGTAAAAATTACCGAAGTCGGTGATAACTTCTAAGTGTGTAAAGAAGAACATTCCTATTTACATAGTTGAAAATGCTAATTTCAAATAACAGACTAAAGTGGTAATTTTTATACGATATATGAGGAGATGAAAGTATAGAGTTGATAGTTCCGTTAGAGTACAGCAGTGTGGAAATTGTGTATAGAGAGTAGAAAGCTAGCAAGGACAACTTTTAAGAAAGGTACAAATCGGTTTGATCATCTCTCTTTACCAAACTCCCCCGTTGGAGAGGGATGGGATACCACTTTAGTCTGTTATTTGAAATTAGCATCTTCAACTACGTAAATCATTGACTTCACACAGAAGTAATACAAAACATATAGTCAAAGTACATAACTCTGGATGGGAGCTTACCATCAATTACTGTCATTGGTCGAAAGGTACAGTAGCAGCACCTACCCTACCCGTGTCCCCTCGAGATCGTCAAGTCGACGATGACAGGAGCACATACCGTGGTAGAGGTGACAATAGCTGCCATTTCCAAACCTACGACTGGATGCCTTCCTTCAGATAACAACTAGAGTGCGGTAAACAAATCGATAGAACTATTTCAAACACATCGTCGGTACATGAGCGAGTCGGCGATCATCTTTTTTGCCAGTGGTGGCGGGGGGGGGGGGGAAACCCCTCACCATCCCTCTTCAACGGGGGAGTTTGGTAAAGAGAGATGATCAAACCGATTTGTACCTTCCTTAAAAGTTGTCCTTGCTCGCTTTCTACTCTCTATATACAATTTTCACACTGCCGGATCTATCAACTCTATACTTTTATCTCCTCCATCTATCGTATAAAAATTAGCATCTTTAACTATGTAAATCGTTGACTTCACCGAGGACTTCACGCAGAAGTAATACAAAACATATAGTCAAAGTAAGAATATTCCATTCGATCAAAAGTTCATTCAGCCAAACGTCCATATGGGAGTTTTCCAGAATGTTCTCAAGCTTATCGGTATTCCCATTTTACTCGATCCTTATGGGAAATCACATTGCGGTCTTTCATTAAACGTGGTCGCAAGGGAGTCCCGGATAAAATCGTCAATCTCATCGAAGCGCAGTATGAGGCTTTCACGTGCAGAGTTCTGCATAACGGAGCCTTGTCCGACCCTACCCGGGTAGTCGCTGGTGTGAGACAAGGATGTATACTATCACCGCTACTGTTTCTCATCGTAATCGACGAGATCATGGTAGGTGCAATTGACCGTCTACCGAACCGTGGGCTGCTTTGGCAGCCTATCACCATGGAGCATCTCAACGACTTCAATTTGGCTGATGATGTTGCTCTACTAGCACAAAGGCGAACGCTCCTCTGCGGCGGGTCTCACCATCAACGTCAACAAGATCAAATCGTTGGATATCAACACGGGCAACCCTTCCAACTTTACGGTAGCGGGGCAAGCAGTGGAGAAGGTCGAAAGTTTTCAATATCTTGGCAGCCAAATGGCGTCGGACGGCTGGACCAAAAGCGACATAGGTGCACGAATCAAGAAGACTAGGGCGGCCTTTGCGAGTTTACTAAACGTATGGAGATCCAACCAGATAAGTCAAGGCACCAAAATCCAAATTTTCAACTCGAACGTGAAATCTGTGTTGTTATACGCCAGCGAAACGTGGTGTATATCAGCGGAGAACACTCAACAGCTGCAGGTCTTCATCAACCGATGCCTGCGGTATATAATTCGTGCCTGGTGGCCTCACAACTGGATCTCGAATGCCGAGCTCCATCGTCGATATC